CGCCTCCCGGCTGGACCAGGCTCCCATCCTGACCGTTACACAACACCGTGCATGCTCTGCCTAGCAGCCACCTCTGTTTTTTGCAAGGGTCTCTTCCCTTTCTTCTCTCAGATTTATCCCCATCCCACACAAACCCCGTCCCTCCACGCAGGATCGTTTTGTGCACAGGTAAAAAGCCCAGTTTGCCACCAGGATCGCAAGGCTGAAGGTGCAGAAGAGGCTCTCTGAAAGCAGCAGGTAAGGACTCCACAGGGTTGTGTTGCCTTTGTCATCCAAGATGAAAGCCTGACATAAGTTACAGGAGCTGAAAAACTGAGTTAAGCAAAGTGGGTCAGGTCCTGTGCAGACCCACAAGGGGGAGAACCTCCTGGCAGAGGGGAAGGGACAGGACCTGGGCGCTGAACCCCTGCTGAGAGCTCTTGGAGGGCTATGGGGGGTTATTTCTCACCTTTCTGCTCTGCTCCTTGCTTAGGCTGCCAGGGAGGGACTCGTCAGCAGGGACTGCAGCAACAGGACAAGGGGTAACAGGTTAGAACTTCAACAGGGGAAGTTACAGGTTAGATATGAGGCAGAAGTTCCTTGCAGAAGAGCAAGGCAGGGTGCAGGATAAAGGACCCATCAGAACTTAGACCATGAAGCAAACCCAACCATCTGAACGAGCAGCACTGAAGCCTCTGACAGTGTTAGACCATCCATAGCAGCAAGAGGACAGAGGCTCTGGCTGTCCCCACCTCCATCTCCCTTTATTTCAAAGAAGAACTTTCTGTCATAGATTTCAGATTGCTTATAACATAAGCCCTTGTGTACAAAAGCAGCTAACAAAGCAGCATTCCAGCAAAAGGCCTATTACAAGTTTCCTTCCAGTAATTGAGGCTTTTAGAGGAATAATGTGAATAGAAATAAGCACGAGCAAAATGATTCCGGTTTTATGTCCTGTCAAGCTTAATTTATGGTCTTACATAAAATCCTGAGCCTTGTTTGAGCATTTTGTTACCCTACAAGAACCTGCGTTGGGCTGTAAGGACAAGGTCCCCTTGCTCTCACCTGGAGCTGCGTAATCCAGATGTGTCTTCAGTGAAGTCGGTGGAGTTGCAAAGAGGCCTGGATAAGAGATGCTTGCAAGGTTTATTGCTTCAGCTCTCCTGTTCCTTGCTTTTCCATGTCCCATACAAACATTTGGATGGAAACTGCCAACGGAAGCGTGAAGTTTTGCACACAGCTTTTGGACCATAATGGATCTCACCTGGCTTCCTACCCCTTGTAAGGTCACTGCTGGGAAGTGCAAAGACCTTAATTCTTCCCCACACAGAGCTTAAAATGCCTCAGCTCTTGGCTGTAAAGTCAGGGCTCCATTAGGACCATAATCCAATAGATAAATCCTATGGCAACCACATGCATTTTGCTTGCTGTGTTGTAAGGGATGGGCTGCAAGGGCAGTGCCCCACTTCTGCATCCCTGTGCTGCCCGAGAGGGAGCAGACTCACTGCATCAAGAGATGGACCTCACAGCAACCCGGCCTCAGTGCTGCACAAAGCTCAGTTGCCAGAACACCAGCTCTGCACATCTTCCTTTGGAGGAAGATCACCCATTGTACTTGGGGGAGAGAGCAGAAAGGATAACGCAGCGTTTTTATGATGAGATTTCCATGAGGATGCCTTATTCATTCTGCAATCATTAGCCATGATTGTGGACACTGTCTCAGGAAACCTGAGCACACACAGTTACAGCTGCACAGCCCCACATCCCCAGCACTGCTCAGGCAGTGGCAGGGGTGTGCAAACTGAACCCAGAGGTTGACACCAGGGTGAAAGTGGCTGGGTCCTTTGCTTCCCTATGCTACTACCATTGATTTTGCTCTTACATCAAGCTCTTTGTGGAGCTGAAAACACCACGGCACACTAGCACTGGTCCCTCCCTGCTGACACAGTTTAAATGAGTGGTCAGGATGTGACCCTCCACGTGTTCACTGCCTCTCAGCAGTCAGTAGCTGGCATTTGCTAACAGACTTATTCCCTCTTAGACTGCCTGTTGCTATATATAGGCCTAGTTTGCTCCCTCCAGGCTCTGCAGTCTTAAGTGCTTCATTAATAAAGGCATTTTATGCTCTTCAATGATGCCTAACAGACCCGTGGAGCCCAGGGTGCAGCTCCAGCCCTTTTCCACCTTGCTGGCCTGAAGGGATCTCTAGGGATGAGGCGAGAGCAACAAGGGACCCATCACCCCATTGCAGCCCACAGCTGGGGATCCTGACACGGCCCCACAAGAGACAGGCTCCGCACAGGGGCTAAGGCTGGAGGACTTGCTCCATGCTGGTGCTGCACTGGTTTATGTCAGGGTCTGGCTCTCACCCCAGCAAGGGGAATGCATTCCAGCAGAGGCAGTGATTTGAGGTTACAGTGCCTTGACCAAGAGGTGGGAAGGAAAGCAAAAACACCCCTAAATTTTAACCCAAACCCCTAAACTACCACACAACCAACCAATAAAGAGCCTCATCCAGGGGTCCAGAGGGCCTGAGAAGTCTGGGATCAAACCCCACATCTCCAGCACACCTCCCACATAGCTCTGTATATTCAAGCAGAGCTGGGCAGAGGGAAACCTAACTGGAGATCAGAGTGTCCCCATTCTGGACTAGTTTTGCTCTTTAGAAAAAGAAGTTAAGAGGCAGGATCTTCACTAAGAAACATCAAAGCAGATGTAAGATCTTTGTTTCCTAAACTCTGCATTGCATCCATCTATTTTATATGGATGTGGGTTTGCACATCAGAGCATCACCCCCCATCTTTCATGGAACTGCCTTTCCATTCAGCAACATGCTGAATCAATGGGGCCAATCCCCTTTCATATTCCTGCAATGAGCCTGTTCTAAATCCTTCATCACCTCTTTGGGAAGATGTTGATTATTTACAGTACGTGCAATTGAGATGTCACTGGATTATTAACCTTGGCTGTGTTGTCTTAAACATCTGGATTAGTGGACAGGAGTTTGTTTCCTTTGCTCCAGGCTATTAAAAAACTCAGGGAAACACAGGTTAGAAAAGCTGGTGCTCTGCTACCACCCTGCAACCAGGAAGTACAAGGTAGGGAAGGGTTAGCAGTAGGAGCTATGATACAGCAAAAGGATGGAAAATGGGAGCTCCAGCCCCAGTGCTACCACTGGTAAGAGGTGCTCTGGGATATCACCTCTAAAACTCTGCTTTCAACATGGAAAACAGATTGAAGCTGATGGTAAACCAGCAGCCTCAGAAGACCACAGGCACCATATACTGCTATTCCTCATCACCCATAGCACTAGGAGATTTCCAGCTCTGCCTCACTATGGGATTTGGGGAAAGCATCCTCTCTTCTTCATCTCTTTGCAAACAGGAGATTGGAATGTGCTCAGACATAATGCTGAAGAGGCACAGAAATATCTGCTGCTCCGGAGGCAGCTCAGCTCTGAAACACAGCTGCTAAAACAGCACTTGTCAGCCACGGGATGTAAACCACATCATCCCCCAGCTGCCTGCTTTTACACCGAGGGCTGAAGCATGTCCCTCCATGCTCCAAGCAGCATTAGAGGAGCTAAAGGCTGTCCCTTCCTTGAGCCCTGGACAGAGCTGGCTGGACTTCCTTAGGACAGAAGGACTCCAGGTCCCTTTTGCAGTCAGCTGAGCCATTTATGCTGTTTGAAGAGATGCAAGAGACTGTCAAGAGGCGCCCCAGGCCTCTGGGAGAGAGGATGTAAGGGAGCAGGACAATTCCATCACATCCAAGGACGGTTATTGAAGGATCTCCATAGATCACAAATGCAGCCAGCTGCTGGGTCTGTCTCTAACACAGCACTGGGTGGCACCGCACATTGCCCCGCAGGACCACAGACCTCAGCTGGTGAATACAGAAGCAAACAGAGGAACATCAGCAAATGTGTATTTGTAGTTCTAGATAAACACAAATATCAGGCTGACTTGAAAGCAGCAGCTCTCAATGCCCTGGAAACATCAAGAGCGCGCTCTGCGCCGTCTCCCAGGAAAGATCTCCCTTGGATTTTGATCCTTTTTAGTCAGCTGCTGTTACAATAAGATGGAAGGAAAGGGGGAAGTGGAAAGCCGGTTCGCATGCAGCCTCCCAAAGGTTTCCAGCTCTGCACAGGCTTTTCTGTTGATTTTGGGGGGTTTATTCTGCAGAAGTGATTTTGCAGACCCAACCCAAATAGGTGAGCATGTCCCACTGCTGCCGCTCCATGTTTTCTGCCGGCAGAAATCCATCTTATCCCAGCGAGGAGCAGCAGGAAGAACTCCTGGCACCACCCAGAAGGAAAGGCAATGAAAAGCAGTTGAAAACTTCCGTTGAGTCTCAGGAAACTCCCTTCAGCTCCAAAGCTGGTGAAGAAAACACCACCAATGATTCCCCCCTTCTAATTGGGTTTGCAAAGGTTGACTTGCAAGGAATTAAAACAAGGACACGTTTAAAGCATCAGTGAGTTCTGGCACCTTAAGTGATGTGACATTTACGTGATAATTTGGCAACTAAACATGCAAGAGAAGATGCTTTTGCTTTTCAAACCTGAAGGTACGGTGCTTTCACAGTGCAGCTTCCAGTGTTACCTTCTGACTCAAGTGGAAAAACATCATTTGCAACGTGTTGGGGGGGACACACAGAAAACCAGCACAGACTCACAGCAATTCAGCAGCATCTTAGAGCACACCACTGCTGTGCCATACTAACACCGTTTGGGGGAGCTCCAGTTGGAGGCCCCACATCTCATTGCCCCAAAATTGGGACGCTTATTATTGCCAAGTGGGGGTAAGAGCACAGGTCAGAGCTGCTCTCTCTTCACTGCAGGATTAGCTTATTGCCAGGATCTCCAGATGAGCAAGAAAAAACCCAACGAAGCACTAGCAGGGTGGATACAGGTTATATGTGCCCACAGGGATGAGCCCCATAGCCTAACCTGGTGTGCATCTTCCCTCTGTAGCATCCCACACGTATCACCCATCAATAGGGTCAGGTTCAGTTTTCACCTGGGCTCCTCCTGAGAATTAATGCACTGGCACAAACCCATTCTCCAGATGCTTTCATTCGACCTCAGTTTCTGCTCAGGAACTCCACCTTGTGCAACAGGGACAACGGCAGAAGGCGGCATCAGGGAGCAAGTTCACAACTGCTCAGCACAAAGAGCTTTGGGAGCCTTCCTTGGCAAGGCCTCCCAAAGCTGAGCATGCACGTTGGTTAATTCTAACTAAGATAATCCGTAATTAGAAGTAAAGCTCAAACTGGGAAGGTCTGATACGTGTCTGAACTTTCCCCATACTGCACTTCCCACAGCAAAACAGCTTTGTTTACAGGAGATTTTCATGTCTATTCCAGCTAATGTGACCTTGGAGATAAAGAAGAGGGGAAAAAAAATCTCTACCGACATGGGGAAAGGTTCTTCCTCCTCCCCGGAGGGAAAACAACAGCACTGGAATTGTTCTGGGGCTTGTTTGAACTCCCCCAAATTGATTTCGGGAGCGAGGAGCCTGTGCTCGCCTCATTCATCCTCTCTGCCTGCCAACGTGCAGCCTTTTCGTCTCTGGTGATAAGGGAATTTTTAATTATTGTAATTATCATTTGAAAATTGGGTCCCTGCCACAGACAATTGGAATGAGATTTGGTTACTTTTTATCTTTGTTAATGTCTTTTAATCTGAGGTTTCATTTCCTATCAGCGGTAAAATATGTATGCGGGCATACATGCGCTCAGCTTAAGTATGAGAAGAGACTCGTGCGCTCATAAAATATATGGGAGCATATTACATATGCTAGGCAGATTGTAGAGCAGGAAGGACTGTTATGATGAGCTCGTTCAGTCTATTATGAAACAAGGACCACGTCACCTCACCTGTCATTTCTGCATCAAGTCACCTCTTTGAGAAAGACATCCAACCCTGACCAAAAGAGTCTGCGCAATGGAGCATACCCTCATTTGACCAGTGGGCAGGACTTTGAAGGGCAAAACCATCCTGATTTAGGACTCGGATAATCTGCCTGATGCAGCTTGGAGGGTGAAGAAGGGGTGGCAAAGGTTCATGGCCGGAGAAGCTGTGGCTGCCCCATCCCTGGCAGTGTTCAAGGCCAGGTTGGAAACAGGGGCTTGGAGCAGCTGCTCTAGTGGAAGGGGTCCCTGCCCGTGGCAGGGGTTGGAGCTGGATGGTCCCTTCCAATCCAAACCAGTCTGGGATTCTGTGGTAAGACTTTGGTCCTTCCCTGCTGGCACTGCTGACAAAGCTGCCCAACCTCAGCTTTGAAACCAAGATGTTTTTCTCCATTAGGATCAGAATTAAGACTTCAGGAACTCATTTGACCCAGAGCACTGTTATACACCTTATAGCAGGCAAGACCCAACTGTCCAAGCTGCTCAAACCCCAGTGACCTTGTCTGGAAGTAGGTACAGCAATCACACCGTTGATGCTGCTATGTCCCTGCATAAACCATCCTCCTTCCCATATTGTTCTCGCAGCTAAGAATCTACTGCTGCTGGCAGGCTTTAGCATCCAAGAGATGGAGGTCTGCACCTCGATCTCCAGTCCATCCTTGCAAATCCACTGCAGTCAGCTGGTGTGTTTGGGCATAAACTCAGCTGGCAGCTTTGCTTTGGATTTGCAGGCAAACCCTCCTGGTCTCTGAGCCGCTGAATGCGGCCAGGAAAAAAACAGCTTAAGCGGCCGATTTAGTTTGTTTTTTTTTTCCCTTAAGTTCTCATTTATTCCTAACATCACATTCCTCAGAGTCTCCCAGCCCAGCTCACCCCCAGGGACCCTCAGAGCCTGAAATATCCACCACCGTTGACCATTATGTATTGTAGTGAGGACCAGCAGGCAGAGGGCAGGACTGGCTCTGGAGGATGCAGTGAGCCCCTTCCCTCCCTCATCCTGCAGAACAGAGCTTAGCCCATGCAGGCCTGGCAAAGGGCTTTTGCCCCCCAGACTGGAATGGTGTTAGGTGGCCTAACTCTTGTGCACTGAGATGGGAGCCCATGTATGTTCATAACACACGGCTGGACCAAGCCAGTGGGAACTGCAGGTTGTTGTTTCAGAGGCACTGTTCCCTTCCAGCTACAAGCCAGTGCTCACCCATCCAGCCAGTTCTGCTACCAACCTCTCTCAGCCATGGTGCCTCCTTCAGGGCTCTGATGGGGAAGCTCTGAGGATAAAGCCAAAGCTCAGCTAATAAAGCCATCCTTTTCTTCCACCCCTTGCCCCTCTCCTTTATAGATTCATGAATCTCTGCCCCCTTTTCTTCTTCCCCAAAGGTCCACAAAGGTCAGACCTTTGAAATATGTAGACCAGGCAGAGCCTAGAGCCAAAAGTGGTGCAGAGACTGAATCCCACTGGCAACACCACAACCTCACAGTCAGTGTAAGATGTCTCGATTACCTTTAATGTACTTGATTGCATTCCTTTTATTAAGGAGAGCTGATAGGAAGGCTTTGCTACTATTTCTGAGCCTCTTTACCAACCCATCATCACTTTCTTGTTTCACGTAGGATGGAACCCTAGCGCAGAACGAGAGTTAAGTGGATTTCAAAGCAAAGAAACAACCACTGGAACAACAGAACTCCATTTGTGCACACGTGCTCGCCTTTATAGGAGCTGCTGAAATCCAAAGGAGACTCAAGGAGAAAGCTGGTTGGAAACTTGTGTTTGCTTTTGTGGGGGTTTTGGTTGTTGGCTTTTCTTTTTTAATATAAGAGAAGCAGCAGTGGAGTTTTATTTGTTATAGGCCATATTATTAACTTCATTCAAAGCAACCCTGCGCTCTTCGAAGTAGCAAAACAAACCTTCCTGGTTTAATCTGCCTGCTCTGGAAAGGAACTAATCAGACCCTGCCTTCTGCATAGCCCCAGTTTTAATTACCTCTGAAGCTCTCCTGGTCCCACACGAGCAGCTTTTCACAAGCAATCTATTAACAAACAATAACCCCGCTGCTCGCTGCCTGGGCCCAAGCAGATGCTATCGCTGCCTCTTCCCATCCCGCTGCAACACGGAGCAGTCAATACACCCTGCTGAGGAGGGAGCGGGGAACCCTGGCGAGCCCAGGCCAGTGGTGGGAGCAGGACACGGACCAACACAGCAGGGTTGGGAGCGCGGCTCCGGGGTGTAATTCCCACATGTAATTGTCACCAGAAGGAGAACTGGAGCTGGCAGGGAGGAGATGTCACCGGCAGCTCTGGGGCTGTCACTTGTTAGAGAGTTCAGTGGGGTAACGAAGCTGTGAGCTGCTGTCCCCTCCTGCTGAGGAGGAGACTGGTGCTCCGGGCCCTCTGCCCTTGTGTAGAGAAGGGCCAGGAGGATTTTCTCTTTTATCTGAGCAGCAAAGCAAAGGGCACTGAGCTCTGGACCTGCGGCCAACGCGAGAGCACGAGTGTCTGAACGTGCACGTAATGACTGAGGTGTTCCAAGCAGCGCGTAGGTACAAGCAGAAAGGACAAAGCAGCCTGCAAGGGCAAGTCCCTGACCCTTGTAAAAGAAAGGGGACATTCACAAGACCTCACTGGTATGGGAAAAAGCAGAAGCAAGGAGACCTCAGCTTTTGAGTGCACCAGCTCTGAAGGTTGGTCTCCAGTTGGCACTCAGCCTTGCGCATCCAGCTTCCCCCATCCCTCCTTGGCTCGTGCCTGTGGAAGATCTGCTTTGACACCGTAGGGTCAGTGCTTGTCCCTGCAAGATGCAGGACTCCAGAAGATGCACTCGTGTGCTACCAGCACCAGGAACCCCAAGGACCGAGGTCCCACAGCACCCAGTGCTGTACAAACACTGATGAGAGAAACCCACCCAACAGCTACTGGCATGTTGGAACACATGCTCCCCATCTGCTTCTCCTGGGGACAACCACGTCCTACACCACACACAGAGGTGAACATCTCCATCTCTGTGGCCATTCCATGTGCATGCACAAAGCCCTCACCCCTATGGAGGGAGGGCACAGACTCCCCAGCACATTTTAAGGTAGGTGGCCCAAAGGCATTGCAAGAGGGTTGGAGAAGTACAACACAAACCCTGCCTCTTGCCAAGCAGTACCTATATAGAGCCAGCTTTGCTCTGACAGACTCAAACCAGACCATATGCCTATTTGGTTTCTTGCCAGCTCACAGAGGGGGAATGGACATTCCCTGTATGTCCAAGGTAAGAGGCATCAGGAACCCATATCTTTGGGGCAGCTCAGCTGAGGGCTGGCAGATGGTGGTGCAGCAGGCTTGGATCCTCTCTGTAACATCACTTTCCACTAAGGCCTTGCTCTGGAAGGATGCAGAAAGAGCTGAAAAAGCAGCATTTCAGTCATCAGTCTTCCATCCTGAACGCACACCTGCCTTAGCCCTATTGCTGCTACATTCATCACTTCAATTTGAGAGTTTAAGAATCTAAAATGCAGTTCCCCTATTGGACCATTAACCTCCTTATATATCTACTACTTTCAACCAACCTACAGCAAACCCTTCTCAGGCCACACTTGCTAAGCACCAAGCACCCAGGGGCCTCACAGCAAACAAGCCCAAACACAACCAAGAGTATTTATCCTCCAAAGCCAGATCGTGTGACACTCCATGAAACAGCTTTTCCCTATCATTCTTACCTGGAAACGAAAGGCACAGAAGTGGACTTAAGATCTCCTTATAGAACCTGAAACTTCTCCACCACCAGCTGCCACTGCCTCTGTCCAACAGCATTATAAAGACCAGCAAGGTCATATATAGTCTTAATGAAGACTAACAAGGCACAGATGGAGTGGTTTGCTAATGGCACAGGGCTGGCTGCTCTCTGTTCCCAAAGGATGGGCTGTAGTGCTCCATCAACCTCCCAACAGCTCTGCAGCAGGACAAGGAAAGGGGCTGGGAAAGCCAGGACACCTTGGCTGCCTGCCCTGGACGTGGACATGCTAAACAACTTGTGCAAGGCTTGGGGGTTTAGCCCATAGGGGAGCTAATCCCTGGTGTGTCCCTTGCCTGGGGACCGCTGGAAGCAGGGCAACAAACGGAGCTCCGTGTTTGTGCCATCCCTCCAGAAAAACAAGACCTAGGAGGCTCTTTTGTTTTTAACAGGAAAAAAAAACCCATGACAACAACTTTTAGCACCATCACCTCCAGAATCCAACACTTCTTGGGAAAACTGAGCAAACAGCCAACAAAGACCTGCCTTTCAGCACCTTTACCGATGGCCTCTGTGGTTCTGATTAGTAATTAAATGCAGGAGGTCGGGGACCCTGCTCGATGGAAGAATGTTTCTTTGGTATTGGAGAACTGACAGGCCACAACAGAAAACAAAAGGGAAAGAACAGTTTGATTCAGCCCCTGGCAGCAAATAAATCACCCCGACCAGCCTGGCGGGTG